TTAGTATTATCATTGTATGACATATTTTGTCTTTGACTGTGAATGATATACTTTCATGGGATTGTTACAGGAACACCATACGGGTTTTGTACATATGTCATCCTGCTGAAGTCATTTATTAACAACATGTAATATAAATTATCTATTATACTGATTTGTTCCTTAAACAAATAGAACTCTATCTTTTTCCGAAGCTAATATACACAGGGGTCGATTTCCCCTTCAGGTAAGTTTGGTAATATAAGAGATTTATTTGATACTGGATTTAAAGCCACTGTACACCATCGGGTGCTTCAAAGGTAATTTGGATTAAAGTTCTACAGTGTAATGTAGCACATAATTCAATTCTAAATTTCAATAAATATTATTGTTTTAGATCCATTCCGACTAAAGGAAAAGTGAAGCAAATTACCATACGAACATGTACAGAAAAGTTCGTTTGGAACACATACATTTTGCAGAGCGAGAGAGAAGTATAAAACATTAGCATTTTATATGTAGACTTTTAGTGTTTATTAGTGACTTTAAAAGAAAATTAGCAATGCTAATGAAAAATGTAAAGACCGCCGCGTTATACAAATGTGGAAATAGCTTAGTTTTCAAAACCGAAAATATCATCCTGGATAAACATGTTTTGTTTTTAATTTGGAAAATGAACACTACTAATGCAAGAACCATTTTCAAAAAAACATTATTATTATTGATAACAACTATTCCTATTGGTTGTTTTAGTGTTCATGAGCTCATCTGCCCGCAACGTCTGTCATGATGTAAGGCCGATGTGCCTGCTATCGCAATTGCAAGCTTTCCCCTATGGCAGGTCACTTATGGTTAATTGATAGGCCAATAAGTTGAAATATAGTACCTAATTTCGCCATTGTTGCAAGATAAATTCAATAACCGCGGATAATTTTTTTTTCACATCTGAGACACAAGTCTTACGTTTAACTCTCTATTAGATATACTAGAATGGATTATTACATTACGACAAAATAAAAGTTCCCTCCCATTTCATAAGATTTTATTTTCACAATTTTTGCCTGAGTTGTCAACCCTTGGTAGAGCAATGCACACTTGATAATATTGTTATTGCCATAACATGAACAAATTTGGCAGAAAAATCCTTTATAAAAAATTACTAGTGATATTTTGGTATCTACCGATTTGATAAAATATCGTCACAGCTGTTTTTACAAGTACTATTAACACCAATCAGATAATGCTTTCTATCTACTGTATTGATACTCGTCCTGTTGAGACTCTAATAAAGCAATGGCTGAATATACATTTTTTTACTTAAATATTTCAAGTGCTGTTCTGGTTTTCATTAAATTTGTAAAGGAAGATAGTTGTATAAGCGATTATGACCAGATCCATTTTTTTTCTATGAAAATGTCATAAAAATTCAATTGTTTCCCTTTGCAGATAACAAAGGGCAATAAATCTTAAATCATGTAGAACAGAGTTATGGTTCTTGTACACTGCACTTTTTTGTGATACGATTCTGGCAAAATTACGACGAAATGACAAACGGATGCACGGACGTACGGACAGAGTGGCAACTTTATGCTCTCCTTTCGGGGAGCATTGAAATGTTCACCAGTGGGTACTCGAAGATTATTTTTTATAATCCAGTGAAAGTCTTTTTCTTGGTCATATTCATATAGCGGACGGCAATAGAAATGTAGATACAGCACAGATACGCTTTAAATAAACTACAGCTATAACTGTTCCTTAACAAATATCATCAGAATCTGATTTAATGGAACAACAGAATGTCTGGACAATGGATTGGACAAACGCATGCTGGACAATTGCAGGAATAAAATTATTAGAAATGATTATTCGTTATACGTAAGTAAGACTGTTATGTAAAAGGTTTACATGTCTTTTAATATTCTTTTAAACATATATATCAACGGATTCAAACAAGCACGGCATCAACAGACAGGAAACATATCGTGAATATCTCAAGAATTATCCGCTCGAAACAGCATACTTTGCTGAAGGTATTTCAATGCTGAAAAAGAATAGCGTTGTCTTTTCAGTAGTCAGCAGTTTGTAAAAATAGAGGAGAATTCGCTGTCGATATTTGCTTGTAGTCTTTATATTATGTTTTCCTTATTTCTAAGGCGGGCATATGTTCCACTCTTAAGATATTTTAATTTTGGAACGGTGCTAGGAGAATTTTTTCATAGCTTTCAGAATGATAAGCATTTTCTCCTTCATCAATGACCGTGTAAATATTTGCGATTCTAAGTGAATAATATCACGTTCTTATTCAAGAACAATGTTAAAAGCAATAGCTTACTATGGAACAAGTAGATAAAATATTTCCAAATGCGATCATGATGGTCATGATCTCCATGAAATTTAATCAATTGTAAAATATCGACAACATAGGTTTGGTAAGCAGGGTTGTTACAAATCAGAAATAGAAATTTCACATTAGGGAACTAGCGTTAGATTTAGTCTCGCTATCATACAGCTTGGTGGAAAGCTGCCCGTACTACCGTCGGAAAAGATCGAGGTAGGCGACTAATGTTAAAAATTATGTGTCGTTGATTTCCAACTCTGGATAATATTTCACGTGGACATAGTCAACGCATATTTTTTAGATTAAAAGGTAGAACATCAAATATATCAGGAAGTGAAATTGAAGGACTTTACAGGGTCTTTATGCCTTCATTTGAAGATAATCTCTTTGATAAATTTAGCCTCTCAGTCAAAAGAGGGGCATATTGCGATGTTTTGATACCTGCTGGTTTGTTTGCGTGTAGCACTTCGCATGATGATTTCGTTTTCTGACCACCTATTGCCTTCTCGGCGGTCTTTCTATTCATACTAAAAATGCATTTTCTATACCTCCCTTGACTAAATATAGTAAACAATAAACAAGTCTTCAACAGTAGATGTCCATCGCGGATGACCTCAGGTCCATCTGTAAGAGACCAGTCAGTCGAGTGAAATCGACCCGTCAATGACAAAACATTACTCTTCATGAAATAGTGTATGCTCGATATTAAGATAAATATATTTTTAATTGTAGATGTTTTCATCTACGTCCTCAATATAGCAACAACTGGAACGGGCACAGTGACCATACAACAACCGTAATCGCAAATAGTGCAAGTATTCAGCGAGAAATTATTTCGCTTTTAAACAAATGTAAAGAGAAAATAAATTTCCTTTTGCATGAACACACTGTCTCCTCGATTAGTTAACCACTATGCCTTGTATAATTTATAGACAGGTTTGTACATGAAAATAATTCACGGATTTACTTTAACGACACTATGGGTAAGATGGGACTGAAATGTCCAGGACGGTATATCCCGATTTGGCATCAGTGGAGTACAGTTAGAACCACAACAGGGTTTTACCGTCTCGTTAAACAGTTTCGAATTCCCTTCAAAAGCATTGACTTCTGTTACTGTTTCGGCATGAAATGTTGATATTGAGTTTTTTTTATGAAGGATTTCGTTTTTTTTTAATTTCAAACTTGACTAAACTCAACCGGCATAGTTTTAGACTTTAATAGAACAGAAGATTCCATGTTGCATTGATGTGTAATGCTTAATCGAATTCCCAACAGCCTTTAAGAATACATTAGACATCTATGGCAATACACAATGAATATTGTTCAATAAACCTATGGTACATATCAAAACTATCATTTTCTTCCCCCATGTGAGTGTGTTCATTTCTACAAGCTAAGTGGCGACATCCGTGCATTACAGACACATGTTTAATGTTTAAATCTAGTCTTATTAGTGGAGTTTAAGTATCGGATAATCTTTTTGTTACAGAGTATGAGGTCATAGCTTAGAAACTTATTAGATATAAAATGTCATTACACCAAATAACATGTTGCTACGAATGTAGATATGGTACTTGTGTCCTATGTGAATACTGCTAAATGGCAATCTGGAAAAGCAGGCCTATAGGAGTCTTTTTTCAATCCATTTTAATGTGGAAACTCTTACACAATAATTCAATAATGTTGTTTCTGTGCTATGACTTATCTTAAGAATGCCATCGGATTTATTCAACAAAATATTATTATGTGATCTGATTTCGGTAACTTTTAAGATGTGTGTGTGTTATAAATATGTACCAACTTGAGCGAAACTACACAAACGAAAAATACAGAAATTTATTTGTGTTAGCATGGTAACCCAGCTCAGAGACTGCAGCTTGTTATTTGTTGTACATGTCTTATAAACAAAAAACAACAGGGAAAAGAAATGTTGTCAAATGGTCATTTATTAAATGACAGGAACATTTCAAATACAACCATAATATCAATCACTGTTGTTATATAATATATAGATCTGAATGTCATTAACTTCAGTCTATATGTACAACAAAAAGATGGGGTATTTATTTATTTATTTATTTATTTATTTATTTATTTGTGTTTTCTGTCTCGATTCTCGGCCTATCCACCAATACAAAAAATATTGATTTATGGAAAGCTATAATTTAGCTCAGGACGTCCAAAACACTTGAAGGAAAGGATATCGGGTTGCAGAAATTTAACCCAATATATATTTTTTTCTGTTTATTTATCAAAATAATCCAACTTAATTATTTGATAAAAACAATATATTTTTCATGTAAACAATTTAAATTTAGACTTTTCTATTCCTCATTTCCATACATTTATATTAATACAAGTGCCCGAGTTATAAGACGGGACATTGTGGTTCATAAGATTTATTCCATGATTAAATCAACATTGTATTCATCGTCAGATTATTTTTATAAATTATGTTGCTGGTGTACGTATGCATGTGTATATATGTAAGGCTAAATGTCACCATTCTGTAAGTGTTATTTAAATAGAGCGATTATACAAAATGAACACTGAATATAAAATACAGCAGAACTACATTTCGTGTAGTCCATACATTACAGTACTCTCGTGCGAACATGTATATAATCGAGGGGATGTGAGTATCGGAAGACTTAAACACACAACTCAGTCACTACCAATAGGACGTATACAGGCGGATAGCGAGATGTCTGGTAAGTAGACACATGCACAATAATTTGTCAGACTAAAAATCGTTTTTGCTTTCAAAAGACAACTTATATTAGACATAATTTACGTTTTTGATATGTGACATTTGTTAAACATGATGTACATATGGCTACTAAATACTAGATACTAGCACTAGGCCATTTGAATAAGACAAAAACAATATGTCCACCGGATGTTTAACTGTTGCTCAGTTCTGGACCTAGGTTTCTTTGAAGTGTATTTAAAATATAATTAATTCTACAAATAAAAGGCAAATTGTGGTGACGTTTCTTAACATACGAGCCGGAATCTCGTTAAAATTAATGTCAGAGTAGTGGATCATGATAATTTGCAATGATTCCTTACGATGCAGTTGTATTCATTATTTGATCTACTGTATCTTATTCTAAGTTTGTTTTAAAGTACTATCCTATAACCAGTTCGACGTATTTTATCGACTTAAACGACTTTCCTTTTAGCCTGTATGACGTCATTGTTCGGATGATTTAAAATATATATATATATTCTTTGGCCAAAAAATTACGTAATTACTGTGATAAATGTTCAAGGCTATGTTGTGTCCCTGTATAACGTCTTGCTGTGTGTAAACTAGATTACTGTGTTGTACTATGTGACCTAATATTGATGATGAAGTAAAGAAAAATGTCTGCATGACCTGATAGTGCACTGTAACAACTACCATGTGACGTCATATATTGTCAATACAACGGCGCCTTACAATCTTACAGGAATCGTTGTGAAAAATCGACATGATTTCGTTTTGTTATATACAGCACCTCCCTAGTATTTATGTTCACACATGATGCGTATTACCTTCTGTTTAATTATATAAATAAATTGAACTCTGTTGTAAGTCATAAAAGATTAATCCGAATCGGTTCGCTAGAAATTTCAGTTGATCTATTTTTATTCTACCGTATGTTGTAAACAGATACGTACTGCAGTGTATATCAAATACTCCCTCTTATCGTATATCTCATCACAAACCACGTTTTTGTGCCCCGTGATCATGTCAAGTGTTATCTACGTGTAAGTAAAGAGTTCATACGTTATACGGAAACATATGTTATTTCTGGAACATCACTACCAAATCGTTTACAAGATAAAGTAGAATGCTGGCAACTTTCAGATCTTGGCGTTTGTTCACTATTGAATTAAAACACGCGATAGCTTCAAACACTTATTACAAACTACCGCCTTGCTTTAACTGTAGTAAGTTTGCGTCAGAAGACGGCTTATATTATACTTCTAGATATACTGGTGTGATAACTTAACTCGCACCAGTCTATTGTAAACGTGGAAACTTACGCGAGGGAGAAATCTACGCGAATTACGCGAAAGTCGTTAGTTAACAAAAAATTTCCCTGGCGCTTAATTTTGGTGATGTCCTTAAATTTTGTAGACGAAATAAAATTAAAATCAGACATAAATTACCAAGCGCCCAAAGGACCTTTATCTACCGCGGAGAATGGGTTTGCAATGAAAAAATTATCTTTCGGCACTTTTTCATGTGAACGAATGACTCATTTTGCATGCAAGATTTTCGGTATATATGTTTTCAAAGACATTGCTGCTACTTCCCCCTTGTATTTACGGTATTTTTGTTTCTTATTTTTCCAGCGATTTGTTCTGAATACCATGAAATTGTATCTGAAGTTCCTCGTGTTAATTGTTTGGTCCAGTATCTGGACTGTATTTCTAATAAAACCCGAGAAACATATTATCCACGTGTATATGCGCAAAACCAGCAAGTGCCAATGATAGGTATTCACACCTTATTGTTTACTGTAAACACTGTATGTGTACACAAGTGCCCGCATGAAGACCACGAGATCTCTGTTACATATCAGCAAGGATTAGGGAGATGACTTTTACTGATTAAAAAAACCCCCAGAAATTGCACAATTTACCGCTTGCGAAAATTTCCACGGTGACAGTATCAAACAACGCATGATAAAGCTGTAGCATGACATTAACTTGCGTGCCATGTATACATTTCAGAAAATACACAAATACTTGCCGTCCTTTCGAAATCATAGGGTATTTTAAAATTGATATTTATTCATCGCTTACTCTCTGGTTTCATAATAGCTTTACCCTTAACATCGGCATATGACAAGTCCTTAAAATACAAAACAGCTCGATGGCGAATTTTATTTAACATTATCTACTTCTGTTATTCATTTGTGTCTGTTGTACAATACCTTGATATTAATAATGTATAGTTTGTATTGGACAGTTTCCAGTAGGTACATTGCATCTTTTTGGTATGACTGAACTTCCGGTAGGTACTTAACACCATTTCCTGAATCATCACATCCTCTTTCTGGCTGTGGATGTGGATTTTCCGGTCCATTAGATACAACATGTCAGTGACGATTATAACTGCAAGATAAACTGTACATGTAATGGTTTCTAATGAGAATGAAGTAACAATGGAGATATATTTTGAATGTTGCATAAAAAGAGACTATTTTGTATATGGTTTGAATATAAGAAAAGAACAAGTTTTTATCATAACCCCTCCCTACGTGTCGACATTTATTAATTACACACCAGTGACTAAGTATAGAATGTCTCGTCTCTATTGATACTAGGAGGAAAATACATTTCTAAAACAAACAGTAACAGGTAATATAAAGATTTCATTTACATATCATCACGTCTAAAATGAAGCACATTCACTCAGTTACGTTTTTTTTTTTAACTTTTAACTTTGTAATGAAACCTGCACAGAACACATGGTAAATCTACAACAATCGGCTTAGATCAGATGTTATATACAATGTCAGCGTCAGACAGAAGCATTCCGCGCATTCAACTGGTATGTTTCACACTGAGAAGGAAAGCCGAGCAAATACACCTATCTCGGAAATCATGTATATTTTATGTAATCAAAGTAGCTATGCTCTATTTCATCATATGTAATGACGATATCTTTCCATCTTTATTGTATTCTCAACTGATTTACCCACTGATAGACGAGACACATGTGTGTATTGACTTCAATAATTCAACATTACCATAGTCCTTTTAAACACTATTTTTTATAATCACATGGTGTATATACTTAGTATGTATATTGTAAATGTGCCGGCACTGTTAGTGATCACTTCTTCTATCATAATAACAACATCCAACAACATCAGTGTAATGCAATCCTCATTTCCAAATTACACATTGAAACCTTGTACATATATATATCATGATGATTACTTGGGTAGTACATTATCCATCTTGCTAATGCTTAATGCAGTTTTGCCATTGTCATGGTGTTGTAGAATTGGGCAGAGATCATCGTAATTATCATAATGATAATGGACGTTCTATGTATAATTTATCAATTTACGTTACAATTGGTCATCATTTAATCCCTACAAGTTGGCAGTAGCCAAACAAATCAGCCATCGGCAGTGAAATCGTCAAATGCCTCGTATAAAAACGAACATTAACCGCCAAAAATTGAACATCTTTCTCTCTTTAATTCAATATCAGTTTAACATGGTTGACCACTGTTTCCTGAATTAAAAAAACAGACTATGCATTTGTATCAAGCTCTAACATTGTACATAAAACATGCAAGTGAATAGCCCCTTGCAATACAAATTTAAGATTAAGCACAGTAAAGCCATCAAATAACGACCTAAACTACATCATACAGCTGTTGTGTCTCTTGTCAGTGATACGAAGGGCCTAAGGAGGGAAGCCAAAGGGGTCGACTAACGAAAACCACAATTGATCGCAAGGGAATATCAAATTGTAAACTGGGACATACACTAGCTCCATCATTCAACTCTACCTGATAAGACTGACTTTTTCGTGATATCACAGAGGAGGGGCTTAACCATTAATGATACTACTTCTTAATACTAACGAAAAGGTTTTGTTTCTTAGTAGTTTCTACTCATAACGTCAACTACTGTTTAAAAAAAATAGCATTGGGTTAAAGCGTTTGGATATCATACTTTAAACAAAATCACTATATTTTGATATCAATATTCCATTCTTAGTTAAGGATCAAAACTATTTTGATACTAATAATTAAAAAAAAAATACATTTTGAAATGAAAAAAGATGAAATGTCACATTACGTGGGTATCAATAAGCAATAGACCACCTAGGGAATAATGGTGTGAGTTTGGAATAAGTTTGCCGTAATATTAACATAGATGCTATAATGTTTTAGGTCAACTTTGTACTATATACAGGGGTATATTTAGATTTGATAATGGTTAGAAGTAATTGTTTTAGCTTTATCACAAAGACTAACCAATGTATCTTTTAGTGAACTAAGATATTAAGTATTTGAAATAACAATCATGTTTGTGTACGATTTACAGCTCCAACGGAAATAAAAGTCCTCAAGATTGTGATTATGTCCATAATCATGTTGGGCGCCCTGGATATATCGGTTAACATGGAAGGATTATCTCCAGGATGGCATACAAAGGAATCAATCACGAGGACCGTCCATAACCTGACGAATTTAGTGTATCAATATTATTTGGTTTGTGGTGCTGAATATATTTGTGAAAAGCATAATTATAATTTCATAATAAACGATCTGTCGATGCAGGGACTAGAATTATGCCCGCTGTGCAGTTGCAAAAGAGAGTGCGTTCAGGCAGGGAATTGTTGCCCAGATATTATGTTCGCGTTTCCCGTTCCGTTGTGCAAGCACACATCTATTGTCGATAATGTTAACGATGTAAAACTTCAAAGTCATATCATAGAGGCCTGTCATGACGACTCCTTAGAGGAGGACAAAGAAAAGTGTAAAATGAACTATACACGTGCTCAGCTGATGCAACATCCACCAGTAACATCAGCTGATTATGCCTTCACCTTTCGTAATAAACATTGCGCGGAATGTAACGGTGTCTTCAATTACTCAAGTTGGAAAATAAATATTTCATGTACACGCGTTACTGATTTTAATTTTCTTTCCACCTATGAAGAAATTGTAGACCAAGCCACCTCAGAAAATTGTATTATAGAGTACGGAGAAGATCAGGATTCGAGTACGCACAAGTGTGTTACTCAAAACACTGATCCGGTTGAATCCATTTCTGAATGTAATGTTACCGGAACGTGGCTCACATACGACAAAGATATAGCCAATGCTTGTCTTTCAAGTTACCACCTGGAATATAAAGGATACAAAAACATCTTCTGTTTAATGTGTAACCCGCCTCTTTATTATACCAACCCCATAGTCTCGTGCAATGTTTCTGGCATCTGGTCACCGTATAATTCAACATTATTGGAAGCATGTACAAGACATCTTTCAACCACTTTTACAATGCCATATAAGAATGTGTTCTGTTTTCTATGCAACCGGAACAACAATGGTCGCTTCCGGTTTCAAGATGCCAATGCTATCATTGAAGAAATAAGTGTTAACAGAAATTATGTGTTTGTAGTCCGGATGACAGAGTATGCATTGGATTATTATTATTCTGTTTTACAATCATCAAGGATTGATGTAAATAACATTGTACGAACACAATCGAACAATGGTATATCTGTGGACAAAACTAAACTTCTTTCACTGCACTATGCCATATATGGCACCAATTCATATTGTTCAACAGAATTTGCTGGGGGATTCTTTGAGAACTCGACATGTTTATGTAATGAAAGTTGTCTGTTTCGTTTCTCAGAGCCATTTTGTTGTCATGACTTTCTCCTCAACAGCAAGACTTCTTGTTTCAACACCTTATTGTCAGGTTCGACTCATTTTTCTTCTTCGATAGGGGCTATAAGCGGATGCAGTAATCTTACCGAAGAAAATGTCATCAGGAATAGATGCGAAAGATCAGAAGCAAAAGATATATTTGGTACACTCCCAGTAACAGATGGAAATACAATCTATAAAAATCTAGATTGTTTTCGATGCAATCATCCCACTCACAATTTAACGCGGATTCATCCTTCGTATTGGAAATTTTCCATTTTCTGTGATTCCTATCCACATTTCAATTACTTTATTTCGGTGATGGAAATAATTCAACAGGCAAAACGCCGTAGCTGTGTTGTTCGAATAATTCCAGAAAGCATGAATGATAATTCGTTTCAAATGAGCAAAATATATTGTAATCCAAATAGTATTGACAGGTGTAATGTCACCGGACTATGGTCAACATACGATAAAGACATTGCGGTAGCTTGTGAGAGATTACACATATTTTTACCGCCCTACAATGGTTTTAAAAATGTGTATTGTTACATATGCAACAATCCGACACCTTCATCTTTCAATGAAACAACGATAGACAGGTGTTTAATACCAGCAGAAAATCAATTATATGGAGAAAGTATCATGACTGCATGCACAACATTACCGGAAGTACCTGGCTTTGGGCAGTATCGAAATATCTTCTGTGAGAAGTGCTCTTTGGAAAATTCAACAATTTTAGCAGTTTCATGGAAACCCTCCATACCGTTTTCTGGATTAAGTCAGACAAATATTCGAGGATCTGTCATCAGTGCACGAGATCTTTTCATCGCCCTCTCTCCTATGGTTTCAATAGAAATTCAAGCGTTAGAGATTGATAGTGAAAACAATATACTCTTCGATAAAAGACAGGTAAGCAATTGTAACTAATATTTCAGTTATTTTTTTAACTTATTGTTTGCTTGAAATGACCAACAAATTGTGCAACAAGTCATTTCGGTCCAGTTTGTTTACTACTTGAATTGCACGTCATGTACAGCGTGTATTAAAAGTTACTGAATTACATCCTTATTATCGTAGTGATTTCTTCACCGGAAATAATCTGTTGTCCCGATCGTAGAGGCTGAGTCATATTAATACACTAGTTCTTTCCGAAAATTCCTTAACCTAAACCATAATCGATAAATGAACGTAAAGCACGATATGATATGTCACTATGTCCCAGTAAGTTGTTCTAAATGACATATTTTCTCCTCCTGGAGTTTATGGGAATAGCAAATCGAGTTATGTGAAACATTATTCAAGCATATTAGTAAATATTTAAATCAAATTTTATATAGCCCATATATCAACAATATTTCGGTTCTGAAAAACAATCTGCAATACCAAGATATCTACATCACAAAATCATTTACTTTTTTTTTTACAGAATAGGAAATACAACTTGACCTGTTTCCCTGGAAAAATACTTATGGACAAGAAATGCAAACCTTTGCTGAAAATTACGGACAATCTACGATACGTGCAGTCATTTTCATTGGAGGGAAATTCAACATTGTCACCGGAAATTTTATTGCTGACCGTCAAAGAAAAGACCAAATCGGCCATATACTCTATAAGTGGAATACTTTTCTTTGATTCTTTCCATATAGTACTAAATAATTCCTGTGACGAAAACTTCACTGGAAGCGCAGGCATAAGAATGCTTATACATGCTTCGTTTTTGATTGAGGCGAAGGTGGACCGACTCGAGACTGAGAAAAGATTAGTGGAGATGACAAAAGAGGAGTTTAACTTCGATAACACTACTTATCTGAAGGCTTCACCCTCTGTTGAGGCATTCATGATACCAGTAGTTCTGAAAACATTAAGTTTTTCTCTCCAATGCCATATTACTGAAAGTAGTTCCCAATACTACAGTCTTCAACCGACATTTCGTCCAGCCGTAGTGTCGGATTTGTTACTTTGCACGCATGTCGTGTTAAATTCACAAGAATATGAAATGGATGGAACAGATCTGAGTCTTACTTTTGGAAAGTCGAACAGGTTTTTTACCCCTTTAGAGTACATTTTCGTTGACAAAGAAGCACGAATTTGTTTAGATGATTTCCGCCAAGTCAGTGAAAACTTTTCAAAAACTGGCGACATGAAATCAGAAATAAATACAGCACTTGGAATATTCTCACTCATATGTACAGTTATCTCCCTTGTTTGCCTTGTTTTAACATTCATTACTTACTGTCTGTTTCCTGTGATGCGTTCAATACCAGGGATAAACAATATGAATCTAGTGTTCATTATGTTCTGTGCACAGCTGTTGTTTCAGGTCGGCTTTGATCGCATTGCAAGGTCAACACTTTGCGCTGCAATTGGTATATTCATCCACTTCTTTTGGCTGTCAACATTTACTTGCATGAATGTGTGTTCATTCCATATGTACACTGTATTCGCAGGTGACCTGGTTTCTGGACGGATAACAGAAAGATGGAAGAGGAGGATTTTTATGTATATGTTGTACTCTCATGGTCTTCCCTGTGCAGTAATTATTTTAAATATAATTGTTCTATCAAGTACATCTGAAGATGGAGGAATCGGTTATGGATACACTAGCTGTTTTATAAGCAACAACGTGTCTTTCTATATAACTTTCTTGGCACCAGTGCTTTTAATATGCATAAGCAACATTTATTTCTTTACGCGAACTGCTTTAAAGATCAAAGAAACGCCAAAAGTGGACAGTACGTTGGAGAAAAGAAATGATTTTATCATTTACGTTAAACTATTTTCGCTGACAGGAATAACGTGGATTTTGTTGGTAGTGGACACGCTGTTTACTGTTTCAGTGTTTAGTTTCCTTGTTGTGTTTTTCACAGTTTGTCAGGGTCTGTTTGTGTTTATAAGCTTTGTCGCAAACAAACGCGTTTTAAAGCGTTATGCTAACTTTTGTTGTGGTAAGACTAAAGACGGATCACGTGGCAACGCTTCATCAAATACCGCACAGACAACAATGACTACCTCTAGTGCCGTGTAATCTACAACAACTACACTGGACATCAGCGTTGCAGACGTGACACTGTCAGTTCCTGAGTTTAACATCGTAATATCTTATCTTTACATTAATTATTCTTCGTCCGTTACGCGTTTTGTGATCAGTAAGAACTGTCCGTTGATCCAAGAACGGAACATTTAATTCTGATATAAATAAAATGGTTTTGGATATCTTGTACAGGTACTCTGCCAAACATTGTTATGTATTATAAAAGGATGTATTTATACTATGACTTTCTAAATTGTCAATTATCGGCTACATACATTAAGAAGTGCATTTATCTCGATATGTGTATTATGTTTAGAACATTATATATAATATTATCGACGTGATCCACTATTTATTGAACTTTCATATTGTATTTATAAATGCCATCCAACGAGTGGTCGCAGTATGTGGTATTTATTATCTCGAGATAGTTATTGTTGAAATTTTTAAACTCCACAAATGATTATGCAAAACTGACAATTTCAGATATTGCAAATATTATAACTCATTACAAACTGTGAATTCAAAGCAAAATCAGGATAGAAATCTGAATAAAAATCGAACTTGTTGCGCGTTCTAATCCTCGTGAGTGCTTAGGGCGCCCATTCGATCAATGTTCACCGTGTCAGCCAAACAAAACATGATAAAGTATTAAAACACGTGTAGTAAAATAATGTTCTTTTATACAGTTGGAATAATTCCTTAAAATCTGGAGAGTTGAATAAAGTCCTCATTTCGAGGTAGAAATCAACTTATAGAATGCAACTCATCGGCTGGTTAAAGCGACCAATACTCATGCTCGTAAAACAAAGTTAGCACAACATGTGTTTTTCGTGGATCAGCTAATGCCAAATGTTACCAATCTACTAGGGAAGATCGACCGGTATCTGTTTAGTTATTACTGACTTCGGTATGTAAATATTGGAATTAGCCGTTATTATGACAACACACGATGGTAAGTGAACTTTGCAGATAGCATGTGACATCCATAAGTGTCATAATATTTACACCAGGTTCGTTTTTACTTCAATATTACGAATAAATATAATATCTTAAAAAATGTACGACGCGTGTGTATGTTGGATTAAGCATTAACAGTAGAATAGCACACGCGACCATTAAGTAAAGCATATTGTGATTATTTTGTATTGTATATTAGCATAATTGTATATGTCCATTTGTATATCATATCAATTCAACTTGCGTTCTTTCACAAGTGCATTTAATTTCTTAGTTATACACATAGATGTGGATATTCACAAGAAAAATCTTATTAATATCTTGTCTAAACTTTAAACAGTTTTGAATTCGTTACCAGCTTTGAGTCACTTTTTTTCCTTTGATAGCCATCGATGAAATTAGCATGACTCAATATTCCATAATTATGATAATGAAATTTTAAGCCCATCCGTACTGAGCTATTTTGTTTCAGTGCTTAGCGATATATCAAATAAAGATATAAAGCAATATTAATAATGTATTTGTTTTAATGTAAAGAATGGCGTGTAGGCAGGTTTAGTTAAACACAGCAAAACGTTTAGGGATACTACCAAATATCCTGGCCTTATAAAGCCTTCAGCGGCCGTGTATATAGATGTTTTTATTATCATAGACATCATGACATTATCGGAAATTCAATGAGGCTTCTGTTTCTGATATTGGATATATGTATAAATACTGAAAGTGCTAATGTTATAACCCTTTTCCTCCTCCACGAAAATGTCCATGTTATTATCTTGGGAGGTTACACAACAAAATTTACCAGATAATCTCATATTTATAGTTCGATAATTATTGCATTTTTAAGTTTTAAACATTACATGGATGTTAAACACTTACCATCGATTTATGTAAACATTTCACCAATGAAAACGCGGTTTGCGAATGGCTCTTACATGTATGCAAATATTTTAATCTTATGAAAAGATAATTGGTATTTCATAAATTTTTAAATCGATATGGAATCTTCGTCTTTAACACATAAAATATTGGCAAGTAAAATTACGCACCAATTTGCTGACATTACGACTCTAAATTAATAGAAAAGACTTTGAAGAGCCCCTTACGGCATATCTTATTCTGAAGTTTGCAAAGAATGTATTGCAGCTCAACTGAAGATGGAATTCAACGCTGACGTAATATATAAAACACAGAAAGGTTCATACGCCAGGAAGTCTGCTATGGTGATCTCAATTCTACCAACGGGAGTTTTTGGAGTCAATCAAGCCAACTGTTTCTCGAAGGGAAATAAAGTTGACGGTATCTCGAACGCCACCTTTCAAATTAAATTTGAATTTGAATTTTCCTTTGTTTTAGTAGCATATCGCCTGTTCTTGAGTATTAGTAGGAAAAGTTGTCAGCAGACAAGCTTGATATGTCAGCAAGGTTGTTACATATCATATATGTGTATCGAGTGTTCCGGGACGCCCGAATTTGCAGTTTAAACAGAAGACTATTAGAAATTACATGACGTTGTCTATATATCCCAATGTTTCCTAATTTCATATTCATTGCAAAGTGTCGTGTTGTTGTTGTTCTTATTCTTTATACACTATGTGTGAAAACCTTGTGCAGAACCTTCGTTTTCTCCATCAATGAGGTACGTAGTCGTGCACAATAGTTCAAAACTGAATCACAATTTGCCGCTAAAGCGTCAACGTTTGTGGTGGATCTACCATTAAATAATTGGCATCTTTGTTTGACAAAGAATCTCTATACAAGAGGCTAGAAACATTAACGCTATTTATTCAAATTTTCATTCCAAAATTTAATGTTTCTTCGTTTACCACCATGGCAAAACGACAGTGTTTAGTGTTTAGGAGGAAAACATTACCATCGATAATACTTTGAGCCTATTTAGCCTTGGACACATACTGCATTGGATAGAAAATCATATAAGAAATTTCATTTTTAGAAGTCACATGTTAGTTTACCGTGAAGTATACAATTTCACAATTTCTGTCAGTCGTCCCTGTAACGTAATCTCGAATGTATGAACTAGCCTGAGTGTTCTAATGTCCGTTTTATTGATCCTTACACAATATTGCCTTTTGTCAAACGAACCGCAGGACCCGATATGCTATACTTTTAACTTGACGCTCCCAGTATCATACTGTTGCATATTTCTTCACTACATCATCTTTAGCATTATCAAATTATCGTTGATAAAATGACAAAATCCAAAAATAAATAAATAATTGTCTGCATTATTAGATAATTGTATATTTGTTTGATGGTTGTATTTGTTTTTTTATTGATATTGAATAATTTACGAGAACAATTAACAGATGCGAATGTTATTCTAATATCCTTCATCGTCTATAGTGGCTGTCATATTCCACAATAATAACAAAGTACAATACTGTCAGGAAAAGGTCAGAGATTTTTCACATATTGGATCAGCCTTTACGCATGATCCGATAAAACAAGCATTCTCCAATTCCAACCTTTTCCGATACTTGGCAATACACATGGGCCGTTTCGTTGATTTATGAAATTTGTTAGAACAGCTGATCCTTCAATAGAATGTGTTCATTCCTCTCTAATATGTTGGTAATTTTCGTAAATCATCATGGAATATTGAATAGACAGGAAAGGTCAGCTATATGCCTCTCCTTTAATTCGACGTTGGATTTGTCTCCGTCCATGGAAATTAACAAGTTAAGCTAATCCAATATCAAAATACCATGTGATTCCCGTTGGGTGACGACAATCGGCGTTGTGATTCTATGTCGATTAACTAGTGTTAACAGCGAGATATCTGTAACTGCCAGTTCTGCTAAGGCAACACTGTCCTGACATCATACAAAACTAACTTGCTTTATGGAAAACGTTCACTAGTAGCAGATAGCTATTTTTGCGGTTTTAATTACAACTGTCCCAACGTCAAATGCTCAATCTAATTTTAATATTTTTATTTTATTTCAGATTTGCTTATCATTAATTTGCTAGATATGCTGCCGATTGATATTATTTTTCATGTTATGAAAAGCAGATTTTAATAAATGCAAAATTTGAATGCAACGAAACAACCTCGTGTTAATTTAGATCATAATATAGCAACTTGGCATAGTTAAAAGAATGCGTTTGACATCGTTAATGACCCACATTCAGTTGTATTGTTATTACTTAGTTAAAGGAAGAAAAATAATAATCTTTAATCATTGTAAAACTGTCAGGAATAGTAAATGGAATGAACAATTGATACACAGCCTAGCTACAGTGTATACTATTATTCTATTCGACAGTTGCTTAACATAAAACACTGTCAGGAATGTGTTAAGCGAGGTGGCCTTGTAGTAGATGGAGGCCATCTCGCAGAACATCGTGAAGGAAGCCTAAGTCATGCCATCCAAGAAATTCAAGAGTAAAACTAAGACATATACATGACAAAATAGAATGGTCTGTGAACTCAGCTATCGTATTTCATCAACATCATTTTATAATCATATGCCTGATTAATTTGCTGAACTGATTATGAATAGTTCGATATGTATTCACACAGGATAATCATTATTAGCTAAAATTGCAGGGTCTTACTTCATCTTTCATGTACATATCAAAATCATACAATAGCTGAATGGCATTTAATTCTCGCAATCAATATAATAAATCATGTGACCCTATGAAATGAATGATTAATTTCAGGTTCCTATATCTTTAACGCTGAGAATATAAATGTATTGAATTTAAACAATTGTGTAGATCGGGAACGTAAAAACATTATGTAATGTCTCAGAAATAAAGAGTTTAATAAAGATTGTTTTTATTCGGGTTATACAATTTTAGTTACTGTGATAAATATCGATAAAGTGTTTGTAAATTGAATTTACGCCATTATACATGCATACCATCAGTTTTAAGGCATTCAACACTCCAACCCATGTTTTATATTCTTATGCTATTAAATCATATAAATGACCAGAGGAATCAAAATTGTATTGGATACCATATCAAGGACAATTAAATCGTTTTTGTATATCTTTACAAAAATCTTTAGATGTTAAGTTTGTCCAGTCGAACCCGTCAGACTTGTTACATTTATGTAACAAATATTAAACCTACTGTTAACTGGAAGCCTCCTGGTGGCTGATCATTCAATAACAAACCCCAAACGTATAACACAGATATAACGAAATCTATCAATCAAGAGTTCTTCCCTTTAAAGATGGTTCTTCTTGCTCCATACTGACGGTAGCTTTGACAACAACGAAGCCTCTTAGTTCGTTATTAAGAAAAAATAAACAAAAAAAAAAACTGTTCGATCTATTTTTCATCAAACACACACATTAACAAAGATAAGATCGTTCACATGTTAATTAAAAACAATACTACACGTACGCAGAATTTTGGACTTCTAACTATATTATACCCACCTAATATATTAATTTACTTCTAATGCTTTGAAGAGCTTCAATATTTTGTCATATAATTATGAATGATGATATTTTGTAACGAATAAACTTAACTTTCGATGACCTCATCAATAATGCACAGGCGAATGGTGCTCTGACAGAACGAGTAGAAAGCGCAGAAAGTCGATAATGCTAAGTACTCTTTGGTGTGGTGAGAACACGAACAGTTTACTGATTAGTGTTTCACCAACTTGGATACATTTGTTCTAGTTTAAGTTAAAGATTAATCCTGTGGTTTCTAAGGTAAGGCAAATTTACTTACGATGTTAGGACCAATATGTTTGATAATAATTTGCTTACCAAGGGAAACAAAATTCGAATTTCTATCTACTTTTGTTCATTAGTCGTATTTACTCTGGTCGCATATTTATCTAATTGTGACTGACAGTGGATTATTCTCATTTTTTTCATTTGACATTTTATTCAGTAATACAAAACATAAGTTGAGAACAATGACTGTCCAAGTTATTTCCGGAATTTTTTCCTCAAGTTAAGCATTTAGTATTTCAGACATGTTGACTTTAATATTTAGTCAGTGTACTATCTATAAGAATACATTTCTATCCCTTGTTCGCGAAATCGATCACCATTGCATCAAACAAATACAATCAACGACAGAGCCATTTGTAAAGGTCAGTAATTAATAATGAATACAAATTGGATGCGTATAATAGGTCGCTTGCCGCATTACGCTCTAATCCTTCATGTCATTTCGATTTGTTACACCGAATATGTTACTTATTTCTAAAAGTTAATGTTAAGAAATCCAACTGTAATGCTATAACACATTTGGAACTGGGTTATCTGCATTTATATCTATTTAGTTAGAAAATACAAATTTATCGAGGATTAGTTCAAGTTATTTAATTCTAAAAAATGGTGTTAAAATATATCTATAATAAATAGGAATGAATAACCATGTTTTAACTGGGAACTTTATGATAAAAATGAATCGTTTGTTAGGATTAAGTGAATTTTGGTTAAATCAACCAATGTTTA